ATATATATATAACATCATGAGAATTTTCAAATTAAATATGCTGCATCCAAAATGGCATTTTAAAATTTTTTAATAAGATAATGAGAATTTTAGGTGCTTATATATAAAATATTCCAACTAATTAATATCGAGAATAATAATAATAATTTTTTATTTTTCTAAACATATGTTAACGAGAGAAAATATGTAGCAAAGCATATCCCACTTCTTCTGCTTCTCGAAGAGAGCTGGGAGCTCTTCCCTCCACTTTTCCCTGCCGAGCCGGTCGTCTCGTCTCGTGAGGCTCATGGCCTCAACCCTAGCCCTCGATGCGGCTTCTCTGACGGTGAAGGAGTGAGAGTCTGATGATGGGCTTCTTTCCGCCTTCCGCCTCCGGGTTCGCACCTTCTACGACGCGTTCGACCAGTCACCGGCCGCTAAGTGAGCATTGTCGATCATCTCAAGCATTTCATTGGATCTTCTATGCGGTATTTCCTTCGATCTATTTCTTGATGGCCGTTGTCAAATCTGAAGTATGGATCTGGTGCCTGGTATCCTCGGAAGGCAAAAGAAAAAAAAAACCAGGGATTTCTCTTTTAATGTTTGGCAGAGTGCTGATCTTTTACCTTGCTTTATAATGTCATTTGTATCGTATCGATAGTATCTATTCGATTTCAAGTTCGGTTAGGATCAGAGGGGGCATCTGGAAGAGAGGGAGTAAGAAGCATTGTAAGATCGCATCGACGGATAAATGATAGGGAAATCAAAAGGGTTCTTGCATAAATGTCACACTGCCTTTTTCACCATCCTTAGGCCACTCAGTTGATCTTTGCTCTGCATATAAGATCGGAAGATATTTGTATGAATTAAATATTACTATTTCTGTGGCAAACTCAAATCTTGGACTCTGCTATTCGAAAGTGAACCCTAATATGATATTGGTGGCTATGAACTCAATGAGTGAAGAGCATATGAGCTGTTGTTTCCAAATTCTGTCAATTGGTATAGAACAAGAACAATATTTTTCTTATGCATATCTTTGTTCTAAGTATCATATTAGGGCCTTAGTAATTAATTATTTTTGTCTATACATCATAGTGGCTAGTGCACTGTTGCACAGTTGATAGGTCTCAAGTTTGAATTCATGTGAGCAAATGCTTTGTTAACAATTTGTTTTTCTTAACTAGTTAATCTTATTATGTTCTTTAAGAGCTTACAAGTTCATAAATACATGTTATTGACTTATTGCAAATTGGTTCGTGATCATTCACATCTTTACTTATAAGGTTAGCTCATTGTTGATTCTGTGTTCTAATAAGCTGCTGCAGCTGGCAGTCTGTCAAGGTACAGCATAAAGCATATGTGTGATATATGCAGTTCAATCAGAACATTCAAAATAATATTTGATTAGTTCTTTATAAATGGAGGATCAATCCAAATGTATAAAACTTAGCATGTTATTGCTTTTCTTAAGAGAGAAAAGCATCTAAATGAACAAGTCTTAGATTGCCAACCGATCATGACTTGCTGATCCATAAATTGACACCTTTGAGACCCTGATGGTGCACACCGGTTGGCTATAAAGTGGCAAATCTTAGCTCTAACCACCAACAAATGAACCCTGACTCGGTCAATCTCAAACCCAACCCTCTTCAGTTGACCCATTCAGTCCATGCTTGGGCCTGGGTCAAGAAATCTTGTCCTGTTGGCTGGTTGGGTCCAGTTCAAGTCGAGTGTCTGTGACAACAAGGTGCAATCCATACTTGGCTGAAGCCACCCAAGGTTTTCTCTGAGAGTACAAAGCAAACCACCTTTCTAAATATGAAACCAATTTGATTCAAGCCATTGCCCTTACGACCTGTATTTCAGGCTTTGACTCAGTAGGACACAATTTAGGCTAATAAGGATCTGAGTACTTGTTTATATGCTGCACATTTGGTGGTGTTGATACTTCAGCTGTGTTTCTTTGGAATTTCCTTCTTTTTTTTGAAGTGATTTGTGGGGCTTTCTCTGTTTATATTCTTAAAATTATTAATTTGAAATTTTCTGAGAGCAAAAAAAAAAAAAGTAGTATTAGTTACATCTCTGTTTGTTATTCAGAATTAATGATGACTATGTCCAGCATTTAGACAGTGCCTGACTTGTGTTTAGCGAATGTGCAGTTTTCTCAGAATGGAGAAGAATAGGTAGTTGTGGCAATCCTAGATATTAACCAATGTCTTAAATTGGCTGATGAATTGACAGGAAAGAAGCCTGAGATACATGCTGCATACAGCAGAGTCCAACAACAAATTGATGTTTGATTGTTGTAAAAGAATATTTCAATCTAAATTTGAATAATGGATGTCATTCTATTCTCTAGCTACTGTATATTGGCACAGATTTTGCCTTGTCTTAATTATGCATGGAATCACAAAATTAGTTTTCAGATAGAATGTGATCATCTTACTTGACTCTCAATACAGTTAAGTTGGTGAATTCAAAGTTCAGCAGAGAAAGCTATTAAATCTTCAAGATCAGTTGCTGAAAATGTAAAATATGATATAATCAATATGACTGCTCAAAAAAAAAAAAAAAAACTTATCAGATTACCTTGGCTACATTAAATTTCACAAGCAAGCCCGATTTCAAGCTAGTTTTTTTGTTCAGATTATGAGATTTAAGGCCACTTGTTTCTCGTATGTTAGTAAATCAAACAGCTGATTTGTTGCTGGTAATATAGCCATAGGCTAGAGCAGCAACAAATCCTTCATATGCTTTTTCAAATTAATGGTTGCTTTCATTAGTTTTCTTAGTAACTATCTATGATTTGTCCTTTTTCTAGCAAAGGAGCTTGATATTGATTAATTCAGCTAAAAAATTTTTACAGGTACCGGGAGATGGTCTCATGAGGGGATCTCTAAGTAATGTATATTTTGCCAAGGAGCTGCAAAGAAATGGTTTGGGATATGTGATAGTTACCAAATCTAAGACAGTTGCCAGCTTCTGTGGTAATTAATATCTCCTGTAAGTTCCTCATTTGAATATTAAGTCTTCACCGCATCCATTACCATATTTAACACCATGATTTTTATGTCCTATACATTCGTGTTTTACCGACTAACATAAATAATTTTCTGTTCATGTTGCTAATGACAATGAAAATGAAGAGCCTCCTTGGCAACCTAGATCTCTACTCCAGGATGATCTTAGCCAAATCTACTTTTAAGGTAAATTGATTTCTGTAAGTAGATTATTTCAAAGCTTCATATATTCTTCATGCTACTTGAATCATGTACAACTCCTCTTATAATGTCTACTTCCATGAGACCAATGTGTACATTATACAACTGAAAAAGAAGAAATGTGATAGAGTAGCGTGGCAAGAACAAGTTATGACTTTGAGCACAGGGATTGAGACTCTGGTTCATAGTGTCGGTGGATTATGATATGATTTGCCATCTGTAGAGGATCAGTCTCATAGTTATTAAGCAAGTCGATGGACATAGTTTGATTTGCCCCCCAAGGATAAACTATACTTAAACTATACAGGGTGGGTTCCCAATGTGAAACTAACGCAAGTTAGGTTGGACCTATTTGAATCATTAATCTGATTTGAAATGAGTACCATTAGAAGAATAAACACCCTAAGGTTTGGCTTGGTTCCACTCCTTTCAAGTTCTATTTCATGCGGTTAGGCAGAATCAGTTTGAGATTGGAGACCGTGTGGCCAACTTGTGCCCCCCTATTAGACTGAAATCAACTGATTCGGTCAATACAGGGCATGGCATATTGGCATGATTTTATTTGGATGTTGCTCTATTTCGAAGAACTCTCGCATGATTTTATTCTACTAAAACATGATTTTGCCCTCTGTTTTTGTTTCATCGATCGTTGCCGTTTGTATCTTCGTGGTTGCCTCCATGCCTAATCGCTTTGATCCGTAGTCTTTAAATTATCTTTCTATAATTTTCTCGCTCGTTATAGTATTTTAGCTTGTTACAATGTTTTTTTGCCTATTACAATGTTTTAGCTTCAACAAAAACATTCTAAAGCTACTTGAAAATACTTAAATGTGTAAAATGAAATCAAAATACACATAAAACCATTTGTTATATTGATTTAAATAGATATTTATAATGATTTAGAAATAACATCACCTAAATGAAAATAAAAATTTAACTTATTATAATGCTTTGAGCACCACAATAAATATAATATAAGATCTAATAAAAAATATTATAAATGATCTAAATAAACTCTTAATCGAAATCAAATAGATTCGATTTTAAGCCTAAGAATATGACACTATAATGATTTCCTAAAGAGATGTTATTTATTTTTTTAATAATATTTTTAGTAAATAGGTTAAATAAAATATTGTCTATTTAAAATTAATAAAAACGGAGATATTTTCGATATTTTTAAAATTAAAAATATAATTTTAAAAAATAAAAAGAGGGATAAGTTTTATGAAATATCTAAAATATAAACATTTTCTAAAGAAATCGTCCAACAAATACTACTGAGTCTCGGGACTTGAACCCTTTTTCGTCAACTCAATAATGCTTGTATAAAATAATATTTGTCATCGCCTCGCATCGTGCGAACTCGTCCCCTTCTGTCCCACTCCTCTCCGATAACTCTTGGATCACGTGCAGCTCACATGTTCTCCTCCTTCGGCCAAGCTCCCCTCCGCCTCCCTTATTATTGCAATCCCTTCCACTCTTCCTCCCCACACCATCAGTATCCGGTGACCCCCTCCGCTTCCCCTTCCTCCCTGTGAAGGTGATGGGCAAGCTCGAATCGGAGAACGCGGAGGCGATCGGCTCGTTCCTCTCCGACACGTCGGCGAAGGTGTTCGTTGCGGGCCACCGCGGCCTCGTCGGCTCCGCCATACACCGCAAGCTCCTCGCCCTCGGCTTCACCGACCTCGTCGTCCGCACCCATGCCGAACTCGATCTCACCCGCCAGGCCGATGTCGAGGCCTTCTTCGCCGCGGAGCGCCCCCGCTACGTCATCGTGGCCGCCGCCAAGGTCGGCGGCATCCACGCCAACTCTACCTACCCTGCCGACTTCATCGCCGTCAACCTCCAGATCCAGACCAACATCATCGACGCCGCCCTCCGCTGCGCTGGTGGCGCTGTCCGCAAGCTCCTCTTCCTTGGCTCCTCCTGCATCTACCCCAAGCTCGCCCCCCAGCCCATCCCGGAGTCCGCCCTCCTCTCCGGCCCCCTGGAGCCCACCAACGAGTGGTACGCCGTGGCCAAGATCGCCGGCATCAAGATGTGCCAGGCCTACCGGATCCAGCACGGCCTCGACGCCATCTCCGCCATGCCGACCAACCTCTACGGTCCCCACGACAATTTCCACCCAGAGAATTCCCACGTCCTCCCGGCCCTGATCCGGCGCTTCCACAAGGCTAAGGTCTCCTGTGCCAATGAGGTGGTCGTCTGGGGCACGGGCTCGCCCCTGAGGGAGTTCCTCCATGTGGATGATCTCGCAGATGCGGTGGTCTTCCTAATGGATCGGTACTCGGGGTTGGAGCACGTTAACGTGGGGAGCGGGAAGGAGGTGACCATAAAGGAGCTGGCGGAGATGGTGAAGGAGGTGGTCGGCTTTGAGGGGGAGCTCGTGTGGGACAATACAAAGCCCGATGGGACGCCGAGGAAGCTGATGGACAGCTCAATGCTCGCCGGAATGGGTTGGGAGGCAAAGATCCCTCTCCGTGAAGGGCTAGCGGATACGTACAAGTGGTATGTGGAGAATGTCGTCGACCATTAGCCATGAATTGATGTTCTATCGCATTATTATTACTTGGATCTGTGTTGTTGCCATTAGTACCAGTATGCTTCTAGGATAAGCCTACACCTGAGTTTGAGGTTCTTCATATTTACAGATATCTGTGTGCACGGATTTGTAATATCATTGTTATGTTGATTTACTACTTCAATAAGATAGACTCATGCTGCTACCTTGCTGTTGTAAGATCTTGCATCAGTTATATTGATAAAAATAGATCTGAGACTTGGTGGTTGAGTCCAGAAAGAAACCCATTTGCAAGGAAGTCTAGATGAATATTCAGATCAGTGAACTGTAAACAGCATATGGTTTGGGTATTAAGTATCTTTGGTACCGCATGCTAAATGGCTATCGTGAGTGTTGATGGTTGGTTAATCATTAGGAGAGGAAGGAACTGACATTGGCTCTTTGATCTGCAAGTTTTTAGAACTGCGTAATTGCTTACCTGATGACTGCTGCCCAGATCCATAACCGATGTATGTTTAATTTTGCTTTGCTCACATGCTTGTTGCTTGTTTTCATATAAATATTTTAAGGATGGTCAATCTTAGTGAAAGTGGCTCTTGGCATTTATGAAAGCATTTCTAGGTTGTTATTATTGAGAGTTTTTTTATTGTTATTTATTGAGAATTTTCAAGTTCAAGACTTTGTAGAGGTGTTTGGTTTGTAGACATTCACAAAGCCCTTTAAATTCCAGATGGATTGATGGAGCTGCAGAAAAAGTATATTCCCACTTGCGTCACATTGTTCATGTTCTGTGATCATGCCATTTTAACTATCCAAGTTACTTTTCTGGAGTCTATAAAATATTTTTGGCCAATGCAATAGAGGCACCTTAAGATTATACATCGAGCCAGATCGGCAAAAAAATTCTTCATGCATTGTGCTTCTCTCTCGTGTTAGGCCCTGATTTTTTGCTTAACTAGTTTCACTTTTTCTGCAATTCAAAGTTTTAGGGGAACTTTCATATTTGAGTTTTTATTATTCTAAGAAATGTGAAGGAATATGTTCACAGCATTTTATCCGTTTGCTTGCATCTAATATTTGGATTGCTTTTGTTGTCTATAATCTTGTTATAGTGTGATGCCATCTTGCTCCTGTGCTAGAATTTAACATGGCAGCAGGCTATCTTCCTGAAGTCTATACTAAACACTTTCTAATCTTTTGTGTTTTCACCGGTTCCCATAGCTACTAAAGGAGAGAAGGTGTTATATTTTAATTTTTGATCTTCTTCTGCTCATCGGTATGCTTCACTAGTTTCAGTAGATCCACTATAGCAGAAAAATGTTATGATTCGACAGTTTTCGACTCCTAGTTTCTCTTCATTCTTTCCTGTTAGATGTGGAGCAGTCAACATTGTTACTTGAAATGGTCTAGTGTGAAATTAGGATTTGAATAGGAGTTCAATTTGGCAATCCATTTCCATTTGTTCACCTAGAGAATGTTGACCGGTCTACCTAACTTGTATAAGTTAGAATTGACCAAAGGAGTAACCAGATCCTGAAGGCATGCAATCATCGTATATTATGTTATAACCTTTTTAACCATATCTATGATTGGTTGATTCTTTTGATCACAATTGATTTATTTTGGGCCTAACTTGCATGTCTTTTGGGTTGTTGCATCTTAATGTTTAACTCCTGATGCAAAAACATGGAAAATGTGAGCGGCCACTCCCAGATCGTGTCATGCCTTCCGTTCAAGGTAAACTGCTAGATTTTATGCTTTCAGTCAAAGGCCGTCTGCCCTATGCCTTCATGTTCACTGGCTGAACACAGTCTTGTGATCTCCTCTGAGAATACATTATCTCCACTTGTAGCAAAACAGACTTTTCCTGTTGACAATGTGCTCATCTATCTGTGCTTCTGTCTACAACAACTCTGCATTGTCTTCCCTGTTTAAGATGTACATTATTACTATGCAGAAAGCAAAATAGATGCAGGAGATGATCACTGGATGTACATTATGTTGCCAATATCTTTCTTGGGAAAATTGATACTGTTTACAACTTTGTGTTTTTTTGTCAATTATGTCATTAGGTGGCAATAAAATTGACCAAATTTCTGTATAGGAGGATTATAGGCCTACTTGATTGATGCAAATGATGGGACGAAGTTTTGTTATTGGTTTCTGAGTTTGGAGGTCAGAATTCTATAGGTTTGAAGTAATTGTTTTCTGGTGATGATACCCATTGATCAATATGGAAATATAGAACTGTTCAATGACCTTTTCTTATCTAATTTTGATATGTATTATGGACTTTTTTTTTTGTATTGAATTCATGGTGATTTCCTCTCCTGTTTTCTCAGGTATGAGAATTTTTTTTTTCAGCTCTATAATTTTATTTTTTTGTTATCAGCTTTACCCTTTTTGTTTCTTGGCAAAAGCAATATTGTTTAAATTTTATAGTGAGGTTCCCATGAACTTTCATGTTGTCTCAGTTGCATGCACCTAAAAAGAAGGTGAAGTTTGTCATGTATTATGACTGCTGTCCACTATCCATATTCTTTTTCATCAACTATGGTTGTCAGTTTGACTTCTGTCCTGTGGAAAATGTAAAGCACAAAATAGTTTTCCTTGAATCTCTTGATGAATTAAATTTTATATAACATCAAAGAAATTATTCCTTTTTTAATTGATAATGCAGCACAGGACAAGGGTACTACTAACTAGTCCATGACACCAATTATGATTTGTAACTTAGCTTTTTTATGTTTGTAATATTTATTTATGGATGATGTAGCAGTAGATATCATTTTTATTTATATAAGATAGTGTATTAAGCTCAAATTAAATGCATGTTTATAATCTATAATATGTCATTTAGTATATATATATATATATTCGGAGTGTTTGACAAAGGCTATTCAAAGTTTTAACTTAACCTTTTGTGGTATCGATTGAATGTCAAATTCTTTTTTTTTCTTTTAAAAAATATAAATAAGCCTTTCTATATTGAGGTTTTAGATAGTTGTGCTCAAGGTTATGATTTAATATTGGATAATAGGTATTGATCATGAAATATCGAGATATCAATCATAATGTATTGATCATGCGATACTGAGATATCGATCGTATAATAGCTATATATATTATTCGAGTCTTTAAGAATTATTTTAAGAATTTGATGTTTGATTTGATCAATATGTTTCATGCTCGTTCGGTGAAAAAAAAATCTTAATATTACCATCATAACAGTCTAAGCACAAAAAAAAAAAAGGATTTTGATTTATGGAAATACGTACGAAAAAGAAATAACTTCGGAGGGAAATAAGGGAATCAACCAAAGCATGCAAAAAAGCAAAGAAACCAAAGGCAATGATATTTCTACTCTCTGTAGTTGCTCGTAGCGTACCTTCTATGTCATTGGACGGACCGGGGGGCCAGCAGGGACCCACAGCCATCGTCATGAGCCTGTTGACTCGTAGACGAGGACGCAGTAAAACCGGTAGACAAGTAATTTTTGAAAACCGAGCCCCCTTTTCCATTTTCTTTCCTTTTCTTCCGAGTTAGGGTTCCGCCCATCTCTCTCTCTCTCTCTCTTGCCCGCTCTCGAGAGGCTGTAAGGAGACGGGGAAAGAAGGGGGTTGATCGCGATGAAGCTGACGGTGAAGACGCTGAAGGGCACCCACTTCGAAATCCGGGTTCAGCCCAACGATACGGTACAATCCCGAGCCCACCAAACCCCCCGTCTCTGTTCCTTTGGAACGGTTCTTCCCGAGGACCATTTCCCGGTTCTTGATCTCCTGCTTTGTTATTTCGAGTGATGAAACGTACTCTCTTCTTCTCTAACTTAGTTTCCTTTCTCGTCGATGGTTCTTCTGTCCAGGGCTTAGATCACAATTGCATTCATATTCAATTTTTGAATGCCATCATAATTAAATTCCGATGGAGTAGTTGGGTTTGTGTTTTTGCGATTCGGACTCATAAGCCTCTTGACATCTGTTTCTTAACTTGATATTTTATCCCATACAAGGCGTGGAATGAAGGAGATTGAAGATTCAGTGAGGAAAGGGGGGGAAATGATCAAAATGGTTAAGTTGTGCGTGTGCTCTGCGGTAACAAACTTGGTGACACTAAATCGATCGTTGTCGGAGGTTTCTGTAACCTGTCAGTTCATTAGATTGACGGCCTTTATAAGGAAATACATAGGCTGCTGGCTTCTATGCTTATGAGAAATTACTTTCAGATTATCTATTTGATCATGATTTAAGGATTTTACTTTTTAACATCTATACTTGCATTCTTAGTGCATAGAATGTGCTGTCCTGTGCATTCTATTCAAGGTTGCTGACACTGATCACATTTGTTGGATGATTCAAAAATAAAATGAAAAACTTATGGTTGAGATTGTTAAAAAAAATGTTATTAGAGTTTGACTCTTAAATTCAAATGTGATACTTGTTTATGATGATTACTTTTTTATTTTTAAATGCTTTTGTCGTCTAGCAGTTTGCTGATGGAATATTTTCTTATTGTATGTCAGATTATGGCCGTGAAGAAAAATATTGAGCAAATACAAGGAAAAGACAGTTATCCATGGGGGCAACAGTTGTTGATTCACAATGGAAAAGTTTTGAAAGATGAAACCACATTGGAAGAGAACAAAGTTAAAGAAGATGGTTTTCTTGTTGTCATGCTTAGCAAGGTCTGCACATTTAACGTGCAATATGCTTGAGCTTTTGTAAATAGATTAGCTTGGTTAATTTACCATGGGTTTTAGTGCCAATTGAAACAGGCGACTTCTGTCTTCTTCTTTGAAAGCTTCAATTGCCAAGATGAATCTAACAATGGCAAACACTGTGCTGGTCATTCTTATGTCTGTCATTAACAAAAATTCTGATTGCAAGCATTTTGCAGTAATAATTACTGAATAACCATCTGTTAATTTCTTGTTTCTGTATTAATGTCTCATTGCTTCATTATTTTTCAGAGTAAAGCTGCAGGATCTAGTGGATCTTCGTCAGCTCAGGTGTATCCTATGTTACATATCTTTTTTTCTGAATGAATGAGCATATGTTAGTTTCTGACTAAATCTTTTTGTTGACAGCCTTCGGCGACTTCTGCAGTCCAGCATCCTACTCCTAAAGAAGCCCCAACCCAAGTTCCAGTACAAGCTCCACCACAAGTAGCAGCACAAGCTGCACCACCAACTCCGTGAGTGCACTAAGAGTCCTTTCCCCTTC